ATTCCGTGTGAGCAAACCCCGAGCGGCCCAGACGCACCCCGGGCTTCTTATCCGAGAGCTTGTTTGAGAGGGACACGCCGGGCTGCCGAAAGGCATGAAATTCGTGAATTCGCTGGCACCACCACAAAGCATGGTTCCAACCCATCGGCACAACACGCAGGTGTGGGTACACGAGCTGGGTCGGAGAGACAGCGGCGCCGTCGAGCTCAGAGACTCCAGCGAGTCCGGCCGTGACAGGGCGGAGACAGAATAAGGGGACGAGCTCAGGAGGGAGGAGGAGGTGGTAAAAGGCATCCTGGATGTCGACCTGGGCGAGGCACACTGGGGGCCCCGGGTCAACCTCGAGGGGCGCGAACGATCCGCCAGTGGCCAGGTCGACCGGATCAGGAGAGGCGAAACACAAGTTGGATAAACGCGCGTCGACAATCAATCTTTGCTTGCCGTTCTTTTTCCAAACAGTAAACAGGCCTACCCGGGGCGATCCATGCCGCCTCCACTCGAGCATGCCTGCGCCGTGGAGGGCCGCAAGGAGTCGCGCATGCCGGCGCGGCCTCCCCTGCAGCGAAGGATCGTAGCATGGGCGCTTCAAGGCCGACTCGGCCACCCGCGCCGCCGCCTCCGATGGAGGCAAAACTTTGTCTTTTGGAAAGGCGTCGACTACCATTGGACCCTCATCCCCGAGCAAAGTAGTCAGCGCCCGGGGACCGCCCCCACCAGCAGGCAGAGACAAAAGAGAAATGTCGAGCCGAGCGACAGACACCTTCTCGCCGGTGTAGCTGCGCTTGGCCAGGAGCTCCGCGAGGGCTCCCTGGCGAGTCAGGTCGGCGGGCGGCCGTCCGAGCTCAGCTACCGCAGCCTGGATCATCCCCAAGCTGCGCTCCTGCCCGGCACTGGCCCGCTGTCCCTGAGGTTGCGGATCAGCAGACCCGCGGTCGAGCTCGTTCAGCGTGATCGCGCAGCAGCGAGCCCAGTCTTCGCAATGGGCTCGCTCCCCTCGGCGGCGTCGCCCCCGACGAGACTTTGGCTGGCCGCCGTCGTCGCTGCCCGTGCTCGGCAGGCGGTAGTGAGGCAGAGGAAGCAGATCACGGTTGACAACCCTGCCCTCATGTGAGCCACGTACATCGGCCGCGCTGGGGCTCATCTCCAGCGGCCCCCCTGCATACTCGCCGCGGGATCGGGGACTCCCGCGGCGGCCCCATTCACTGGTCATGCTTGCCCGCGAGTCGCCGTTCCTCGCGGGCTTTCCTCATCTGCTTCATGATGCCAGAGTCCCGCTCCAGCTCGGAGGCGACGTAGGTCAGCAGCTCGGGCGCCACCATCACCTCGCCGTACTCACGATGCTTCCCCGAGAAGACGGCCATCTCCTCAAGGCGCGCACCCTTGCCGCCCTTCTTGTCCTGCTGCTTGCTGGAGTCCGACTGCCGATGGACCTCGTAGTAGAAATACTCGATGAGCTGCATCCGCCGCACGATGTCCTCCGCCGCCGCTAGGTTCACAACGTCGCACTGGTCGTGGGTCCCCAAGCGCTCGAGGATCTTCGCCAGCGTCTCGTGCTCGGACACCCCCCACTGGTCCATGGACAGCCTGTTGTCGGCCCGCCAGCGCCGATCCCAACCCACGGGCCCCTCACTCCGTCGGTCGAGGAACTTAGTGCACCACTCTGCCGTCTGTGGGCCCGGCACGGGCCAGTCCGTCTGCTTCACTGCGCTCACATCACGGGCCACGTCACGCCAGGGACGATGTCGGTCGCCTCGGGAGTCCCTCTGCAACTTCAGCAACCTCGCGTCGTGGTGGGCCTCCTTCGACCTGTAGGCCTCCACATCCGCGTCGCCGATGTCCTCCATCAGCACGGACACCCCCATCAGCACGATCACCCCCTTTCGGCCCGACACCATCTCCGAGCCGTTGAACGCCACGTCATCTCCTCGGCCCACGCTGCCTCCAGGGAACTCAACGCTCTCAGCCGCCACCCAGCGCACTGTGTGGACCGTCACCGGCTGCACCGTCGGCCGCGCTGGCGGCCGGAAGTCGCGGCCGACCCCCATGAGGCCCTGGAGCGCCGCCGGGCCCGGCCCGTCGTCCTCGCCCTCGCCCGGCGCCCCCGGCGCGGGAGGCAAGGCCGGCACGTAGGCGGGCGCTCCTGCCGCCACGCGGCCAGCCCCACCCGCCTGGGCCACGGCCGGTCCGGCGGCAGCGCCGCCCGCGGCGCCAGCGGCACCTCCAACTCCCCACACGGCGATGCCGTACCCGCGGCGCTGATCCTCCAGCCCAGCGGTGTAGGCACCCTCCTGCATCAATCTGCGCAGCGTCGCCGCCGACGGGAACTGACCGAAGTGATAGATCAGGTTCCGCGGCACGCCCTCTGGCACCTCGTTGTTCGGGCCCAACCAACGCACGGCGACGGCGTCATTGAAGTCCTCAATGTACATGTCACCATCCGGCGTCAGGATGAGGGCCGGGGAGTCCGAGGACACCAGTCCGGCGAGCACTATTCTCCAGTGCCACTCCGCGGCCCCGTGGTTCACCAGACAGCTGCGACCGGCCAGATGCAGGGTGCCCTGCGGATGGCACCGCGCCTGCATGGCGCCTCGCGCAGCACGTGCCCAGGACGAAGCCGACCAGCACCGCCACGCCGCCGAGCCCGCACGCGAAGCTCAGCGCCACTCGCGTCTCCGGCCAGCAGTCTTGCCGGCCCAGCGCCTCGGCGGCCTCCGCCGGGCACGTGCTCGGCGGGCACGCGGGCGGAGGCGGGCACGCTGGCGCCGCGGGCGCCTCGGGGCAGGCGCGGGCCTCCACGGCCGGCACCGCCGGGCAGGTGACGCTCACCTGCGGGCACGAGACCGCCGGCGCTGGCGGGCACGTGCAAGCGCCCGCCGGCGGGCAGGCCGGCGAGGCTGGGCACGGTGGCGGCTGGCACTTCCCCAACCACGCGCCGCCCAGGTTGGCCACCCCCAGCACGGCGGCCTGGGCAAGCTGGCCCAGCATCAAGAGCCCCTGGTCCGTTTCCCCCCCTGCCCCCCGGGGAGGGGGGGGCTCGAGCCAGGAAAAACTACAGATCGGTGTTGACGGCGTGTTTCGGTCTTTTGCATATCATTAATCAGCAAGCTTATACAAATATATATATATATATATATATATATATATATATATATATATATGTCGGCGGTGCCCGGTGCGGAGCGAACCCCCCCCCCCGGTAATCTCTCCTGGGGGGTTTCGAGCTGGCGCCATTCCCGGTGCGAGCCTGCACGAACCCCCCCGGTAAACACGACCTCCTCTGGTAGGCTGCACGAACCCCCCGGTAAGGACGCAACCCCTCCGTAAGCGGCGCGCTCCCGGCACGCGCGAACCCCAGCCCCGACGCGCGAATCTTACCAGGACGGGCCGGAACACGGCGGCGGCATTGCATCCCAGGGCCGTGCCGGAACACGGCGGCACTGTTCTTCTCTACGCGGCCGTGCCGTCGACCCCCCACAGCGGCTCTCGGGAGTTGCGCCGCAGCCTCTCGTATTGTGGCCACGAGCCACAATACGAGAGGCTGCGGCGGAACAAAGGCGAGCAGACGCGAATAGAGAACACAAGGCGAGCACACGCCACACTTCGACAGGGAGCCACCCTTCCCAACCGCCCCCCTGCCCCCCCCCCAACCCACCCCCCACTCCCACCCCCCCACTCCCACAGGGGGGGGGGGGGAGCCCAGGTAGACGCAGTGCGGCCTGCACGAACCCCCCCGGTAAAGCGACAGGGGAGGACCCAATGCGGCCTGCACGAACCCCCCCGGTAAAGCGGCAAGGGGGGGGTGTTCTAAGCCGCTGGCGGCACCCGGTGCGGGCTGCACGAAACCCCCCGGTAGTGCACGAAACCCCCCGGTAGTGCTGGGGGGGGGGTTCGTGCCACGGCGCACCGCCAACATATATATATATATATATATATTATATATATATATATATATATATATATATATATATATCTCTATATATATCTATATATGTACACGCGTATTATGTGTGTATGTGTTCTCGCAGCAACTGCTGGGTACGACTCGAATTTCTGGCCGACTGGAACTCACTTCAGAAACTGCCCAAGGATAGACATTGAGCGGAGGATGGGTCCTCGTTGCCGTCGTCGTCGTAGTTGTCGTAGTCGTCGTGGGCTGTCTTGTCTTTCTTCTCTTCCTTCTCCTCTTCCTTCTCTTCTCTACCTCCTCCTCCTCCGCCTCCCTCCGCCTTCTCCTCGCCCAGCTCCTGCTCTTCCGCCTCGTCCTCCTCCGCTCCTTTTGCCCTCATCCTTCCTCCTCCTCCTCCTCCTCCTCTTCCTCCTCCTACTCCTCCTCGTGCTCGCTCTTCCTCTTCCTCCTCATCTCCCTCTTCTTCCTCCTCATTGTTATCCTCTTCGTCCTCGTCGCCTTCCTCCTCCTCCTCCTCGTCCTCCTCCTCCTCCTCCGACTCCTCCCCCTCCTCTTCCACACCTTCACCTTCCTCCCTATCTTCGTCCTGCTACGTGCCGTTGTCATCGTCCTCTTCGTCTTCCTCCCCCACCTCATCTTCCTCATCCTACTCCGACTCCATCTTACCCTCTTCTTTCTCTGCCTCCTCCTCCTCCTCCTTCTCATCCCACTGCTGATTCTCCTTCGTTCCGCCTCGCCATTCTCCGTCTCTCGTTCCTCCCCCGGTAATCCCTCTCACCTCCGCTTCCGCTTCCTCCTTCGCTGTTCATCCTTTTGTTCCTCCCTCCCACTCCTCCTTCTCGTCGTGATTCGCTCCTCCTGTGAATCTGTTCTCCCTGAACGTGCACGGAGCGAACCCTGTTTCGTCTGCCTAGGTGGGCGAAACCAACCAACGATAGCTCATACCACACCCAACAACAGCGGCGGGCAACTGGAATAGGAACGACTCCCCCTCAATCCTCCTCGTGCTCTCCATATCACCACCCCGTCCCCGCCGTTTCCACCTCCTCTTCCTCATGTGATGCTCCTCCTTTGCCCCCTCCTCCTCCTCAACCTTCAGGCGCATGTGCTCCTCCTCGCAGGCCCGCAGGGCGACGAAAAATGCGCCCTCCTGAAGGAAGTGTGCAAAGGGAGTTCGAGGACTTGTTCGGGAGGCGGAGGAGGACGACATCGGAAGACCCAATCTTAGGCATGTCCTGTGTGTGTGTGTGCGACGAGCTATGCTATACATACACAGACATACATATAGACACATACAACTATAAATGTACATACATATATATGTGCTATCCGTGATAACTGGGGGCCTTGTCTGAGACCGCGGGTGGCGCTCCATCAATGGGCAAGCTATGCATGAGCCCTGTTTCAATTTCGGCGGGGAAGGGGCGACTAACGAATTCCCGCTGAGTTGCCACACAACTGCCATCTTGGATTGTGTAGGTCGGCGCCTCCCAATGCAGTACACGTGATGATTCGACCTACTGTCTCTGCCTTCCACACAGCTTCACACGCCGTGATGTGCAGACGCGTGAGGGAAGGACAATGAGGAGAGAGTGGCCTGGGGGATGATAAGGGGGCGGGGGAGGATACGGTCAGGGGGGAGGGGTGGAGCAGGAGGAGCAGACGGACAGACTCTTATGGAGGAAGATCGGGGAGGAGGATGCATGAGGAGGACAGGCGGAGCAGGATGAGACTGGTCATGGTAATGGTGGTACTGGAGAAGAGATAAAGACAACCAATGCCATAAACGGGGTGATGATACTGATACCTCAACATACGTACTACGGTGAAAGAAGAAGGGCGAATGGGGATCGGGAGGAATCTCATGATGATCGGTGGGGGGTGATGATACAATGCGAGGCTGCAGAAGGGAGGTGGTGAGCACGCGCAAGGGGGAGGAAGCGCTGGAGGACGCAGGGAGCGAAGGACTATCATGCTAATGCTGCTGATGCTGATGATGCTGATGATGATGCTGATGCTGATGATGGTGATGATGATAATGCTGTTGCTGCTGCTGCTGCTGCTGATGATGATGATGATGATGATGATGGTGGTGGTGGTGGTGAAGCTGATGATGATGATGATGATGACGATGATGATAATGGTGGGACCCTGCCTCCGCGAATGGTTAAGGATACAACCCAGCGTCAGGCGCTTCAGTCCAAATGGGAGAGACAATGCGACAAGGAGACAGAGACAGATACCTCCGAGCAGGCGCACCATTAGACATGCGTGTGACACATTAAAAGCGGTGGGTGACAGGCGCCAGAGCTGAGATCAATCAATCGCTGTCTAGAGACTTGTCAAGAAGGGGGGGTCGAACGCGAAACACCGAAAGGGGACAACGACCGTGAGACAAGCGGGAGGCAAGAGCGCGGGGAAGGAGACGGGCCAGGGAGAGCACTCAAAGCAGTCATGTCAGCGCGATGGGCTCAATTACAATGCTGACGCCCTGCCTTATCGGCATGACTCACAGGATGCCCGTCCCTGCCACTTGGGGGACCACAGAGATGCGAAACCATTACGAGGGCACAGGCCTTGGACGGCGCATCACACATGCAAGGAGTAAGAAGGCGAACCCGAACAGGTACACCATAACTCATCACAAACCCGACTTCTCCCATTAACCCTGCATTCATCACAGCTGTCGCGGCCTCATTCCGCTGCAACAATCCAAGTGCCAGGCTTTGGAATATTCTTACACGTAGCTTCTGAGTGACAAGTTATCTGTCGCCCATTTCAGCTGCATCCTGGGTTACATTTTCTTGACGTGCGATCTGTGCAACGATCAACGTTTGAATCCGCCGACCCTGTTGGCGTGTGTGAGGGGCTTTTCCGTTTGAGCCGTCGTTATCGCCGCTCCAGTTCTGCCTGCGCCACCTCGGGTCCTCCCCCTCACGCGCGTCAGCCCGAAGAAAATCGAGCCACGTCGTGATGGAGTAATGTCGTAATCGGATCGAATAGGAGCTCCTTCCCTATGATCCCTCCCCCGTCGGGGTGGGTGGGTGGTGGAGGGGGGCCGGGGGGTGGTCCCGGGTCAGAAAAGCATCCGCCCCTTGGCATTCCGCTGCTCCCCTGGGGTCTCGGGTCCGCCAAAAATGCCAAGACAGGTCAAGAGTGCCCCAGGAGACCCCTGAGACGGACAAAGAGGGTCCCGAATCGCCAATCGGTCCCAAACGCCTTCACGCCAACCATCCTGCCCAGGAGACATCGACAGTTGGCTTGTCTGGGGAGCCTCCTGGGCCGTCTTGGGGCCCTCTTCGGGGCCTCGTGACCCGTCTTGGAGCGATCTGAAGGGCCTCCGAGCGAGGCCGTGAGGGAGCGCTGGGAAGCGGGGAAAGCGAGAACGCCTAAATCCTTCAAAAACGATAATTCGTGAATCTTGCCTTCCAGGGCCCTCTTGGGGAGCCTCTTGAGTCCGTCCTGGAGCGTGTTGGAATCCTCGTCGGCCGTCTTGAGGGCAGCTTGGGCGTCTTCGGAGCCTCTTGGGACCGTCTAGGGCCCTCTCGGGACCTCCATTAGCCTGTCGTGGCCTGCTTCGGGGCGGGCTCGGGCCGCCTCGGAACCCCTCTGGGCCTTCTCTTGGCGCGCTCTTGGGGCACAATTTGGTTGTCTGGGGAGCATCCTGGGCCGTCTTGGGGCCCTCGTCGGGGCCTCGCGGGCCTTCTTGGAACGATCTGAAGGGTCTCCGAGGCCGTGAAAGGAGCGCTGGAAAGCGGGAAAAGCGAGAACGCCCAAATCCAAAACACTCGGAAAATGAGTGCATCTTGCCTTCCAGGGCCCTCTCGGGGAGTCTTTTGAGTCCGTCCTGGAGCGTGTTGGAGTCCTCGTCGGCTGTCTTGAGGGCAGCTTGGGCGTCTTCGGGGCCTCGTGGGACCGTCTTGGCTCGGGACCCCCTTAGCCTGTCGTGGCCTGCTTCGGGGCGGGCTCGGGCCGCCCGGGAGAGGGGAAGCCAGCGAGTATGCTGAAAATGTATGTTCTACGAGGGAAATGGGCACATGTTTGCCTCTTGAAGGCCCTCTTGGGGCCCTCTTCGGCCATCTTCAAGCCATCGCGGGCCCTCTTGGGCCTCGCTGAGGCTGTCCTAGGGCCCAGTAAGGGTCCCTGGGAGCGAAGAAGTCATGTTCCTGGAGAGGCTTCCGGGAACATGATTTCGAACGGGGCCCTCTTGGACCTCCCTGAGGCCGTCTTGGGGGGCCTCCTGGGCCGGCTTCGGGGCCGACCCTTTTGGGCCGTCTGGGGCCCTCTTGGGTCTTTCTTGGGCTGTCTTGGGGCTCCTCGGGGGCGTCTGGGGCACTGCGAAGACGAAGCCAGCGAGTATGCCGAAAATGTACGTTTTACAAAAATAATTGGCCGATGTTTGCCTCTTCGAGGCTCTCTCGGGGCCCTCTTCGGCCATCTTCAAGCCATCTCGGGCCCTCTGGGGTCTCGCTGAGGCTGTCTTGTGGGCCTCTTGGGCGTCCTCGGAACCCGGAAATCATGTTCCCGGAGAGGCTTCCGGGAACATTATTTCGAACGGGGCCCTCTTGGGCCTCCCTGAACCCGTCTTGGGGGCCTCCTGGGCCGGCTTTGGGGCCTCTTGGGCCGCCGTCTCGGGGGGGTCCGTGAGCCCCACAGGACGACCCTTTTGGGCCGTCTGGGGCCCTCTTTGGTCTCTCTTGGGCTGTGTTGGGGCTCCGCGGGGGCGTCTGGGGCACTGTGAAGACGAAGCCAGCGAGTACGCCGAAAATGTACGTTTTACGAAGGAGATGGGCCGATTTTTGCCTCTTGAAGGCCCTCTCGGGGCCCTCACGGGCCCTCTTGGGGCGCTCTTTGGCGTCTTCGGGGCATCTTCGGGCTTTCTTGACCATCTGTACGGCCCGCGTGGCCTGTCGTGGGCAATTTGGAAGCGGCCCGGGGCAGTCCCGGGGGGTCTGTGACCCCCCAAGGTTCGGGGGGCGGCCATGGGGGATGGCGGCACCGATTTTGCCCCCCCCGGCCTACTCATATATATATATATATATATATATATATATACACACACACACACCTATATTATATATATATATATATATATATATATATATATAGGTGTGTGTGTGGCAGAATGGCAACAGTAGGGGACATTCGCGGATGCAAGACGTTGCGGTCGTCTCAACGCGACCTAGCTCAAGTCAGGATTGCTTGAACCCAAATGGATGAGGATGGTGATGATGATGCGGATGAAAATGATGATGATGATGAGGAGGAGGAGGAGGAACAGGAAAGGGCATCTGTTACATTAAACCCAGGATGGGCCAACGCTGGCGCGACGCGTGCACCCTCCCATCTCAGGACTCCTCACCATGAGCCGCCACGCGCAAGCTTCCCACCGCTGCCTTGAAAAACGAGCGCACGCTGGGCCTGCCATTGAAGAGAGAACCCCGTTTCGCCAATCATCAATCCTGCATCCTTCTCGCTCGTGGAACCGTTGCACGTGATCCATAGATTGGTCAACACATGTCCGCGTCGAAACCGAACACCCAACATCGGAAAATCGCCGCCCTTAGCCCGTGGAGCTGTTGCACAGCTCAACTTCTGGGCATGGAGCTCGAGAAGGTCTCAAGCGACTGCCCCATGTAATTGATGAGCCGCCATGGTTCACAATAAGATTTAGAAGCTTTGAAAGCGAGTGCTGACGCAATGGAAGAAGATAGTCACAATTCGAAAACGCCGCGCCCCAACGCTTTGCATGCCTTGGACGCTGTTGTAACGATTTCGTGCGGCGCCAGGCCGCGTACAAAAACACCGCCCGATTGGAAGCTGCTGGAAGCTGTCAGGGCGAATGTGCGCCGCGTTACAGCGAGAACCACGTATTGAAAACAACGGCTTTTGGAAGCTTCCAGGGCCGGAGACAATCAGTCAATCAAGCCTGGCGCTCAAGCGGCGCATTGGCGAACTAAAGTATGAACGGGGCGCTCGCAGATGGAAGAGGGGGAAGGGCGGGACAGGAAGAGAACGGAAGACGGGGGTGAGGGAACGAAACACTAAAGCCAATGATCGTCACATTGTATGCGGACGCGTACAGACAAACTTCCCACGCTTCCGGCGGAGATACCAACGCCGTGGCTCGATTGAATGCGGATCGCAAGTGGGGGCTCGTAAAAACTTAGCCTGCGGGAGGGTCGCAGTTTTTCAATGCAGTGACAGCTGCCTCTTACTGAATGTGGTGCTCACTGCCGCTTTGCCACTTCGTTCCAATACCGCTTCGTTTGAAATTCGCAATGCAAGAGAACGTGGACTTGGCAATGGTTCTCTGAAACACCGCGCATGGAACCCATGAGGTTTGCGCTTGTCCTACTGAACTCGCCAGATTGATTTCAAGTTGTATGTTCATTTTGGTGCCGCAATCACTTTGTACAGATCAAGTGAGCTACTTCGCGTGGTAGTCGCATGCGCCCAGCAGTCGTGTAGAGAGTTGAGAAACGAGCCCCTGATTCACAAATTCTGCGCGGTATTTCTGTTTTGGCTGACAGGCCCGACGTCAGCAGACCCCCCAAACGCACAAGTTTGTCAACCGTTTGTTATGGTGTATACCACCAGCATCTGCATAGCCCCATGTTAGTTCCAAGCCGTAGCGTGCACCTTCTTCGACGCCGCAGTCGGGTAACATGTGGGTTTGTTTCCGTATTGCTGCTGGCGAGCATCGTATCGTCCGCGTACACAAGATCGGAGCAGACCACATACGGTGGTTCCTCGACAGTGTGACCTCTGTCGCGCATGTAGCTGCCAGTGTAGAAGAACATCGCCGACTGTACAATTTTGAGCACATAAGGAAAGAGCGGGCATCCTTGAGCGATGCCAGCGCGCTGTCGCCGTCGAGTTGGCTTCCCATCGTCATACTTTAGTACAACATATGCCTCACCATATTTACCTGGTATGAACTCCACCATCCGCTCTGGGATGCCGAACCTGCCTAGCGTTTCAATGCGAATGTACTGCATTATTATGTCAAATGCGTTGGCCCAGTCAAGAAAGATAGCCAACAATCCAGGTGACGCCGACGCGTGCGTAGCGTCGAGCATTCGACGCGCCAACCACATGTATTGCACGGTGTTTCGTTGCGGACGGAAGCCACATTGTGTTTGATGTATGCGTCCTTCTGCACCTCCAACATGAACTAGTTGCTGCACCATAGATGCTGCACTTTTGTATCCAACATGCAGTGATGCTACGGGCAGGTAGATTCCGGGGGAACTCGCATTTCCCTTTCTTAAACAGTAGTGGTACGTATGCAATGTTCTGATAATGCGGTAAGTCGCGCTTCGCCCAGAAAGTCTGGCATAATGTTATAATTTGAGTAGTGGCTCGAACGCCTCCGTGCTACTCAATTCTTCCCCACACTCAGGTGGTACTTCATATTTTACAGCTGCTTTCCCGATGGATCGTCGTTTGAAAACTTCCTGCGCTTCTTCCATATTGTACGTGTTCGTGTCGGTGGGGAACACATCTCCGACTGCGTCGCTATTGTTTAGTCGGGAGCTCGAGTGTGTTATCTTCCATGGTGTACGTTCGCAATACTAGGTTTTTGCTTCTACGCGCGGGTAACTTTCCACCAACCTCCCAGCTGGGTCTTTGATGTGAGTAGGTCGTTTGGCTGTGCCTGCGCGAAGTCCACGAACAGCACGCCATGGCCCGTCCCGAAGTCGTTCGTCCAGCCAGGTCTTTTTGCCTTTTGGCGCGGACACTTCGTCTTCTTAGTGAAATTTCGCTCCTCCTCCAAATTGTTGGTCTTGTATGCCGTGTCCCATGCAGCGAGTAGGTCCAAGCAATCCACGGTTTGCGTTGTGCTTGCGCGACTTCCCGGTTACCCCTGCATCAACTGTTCGACACAGGCCACCGTAATTCAAAATCCTCATCATGATCCTTCTCTACTCCCTCCTTCCCGTCCTCCTCATCCTCTCTGTGCTCTTCTGGATAATCTCCCCTTCGCATCCGGCCCCTGGACCTGTCCGTGGGCGCACTCATACAAGAAATTCAAAGAGGATCCGGCCTTCGCAACGAAGGCGCCCCAGAAGGCTTAGAAACTCCCCGAACCCTCGACCCTCGATCCTCCTGGCCCTCACATAGGCAATGCCAAGATGGGTCACCACTAGGGAGATCACCACCTTCTTGAGGAGGGGGGGAGGAGGAGGAGGAGCAGAAGGAGGAGGAGTATGAGGAGGAGGAGGAGGATGAAGAGGAAGAGGAAGAGGAGGAGGAGGATGAGGAGGAGGAGGAGGAGGAGGAGGAGGAGGAGCACGAGGAGGAGGAGGAGGAGGAGGAGGATCCATCAGGACCCCATACTTCGTCCTCGAACCTCCATCCTTTGGAGGAGCAGGTGACCCCGCTACCAATGACCCCCCTCGGTTGTGCCTTCCCCTTCCCGCCCCTCCCCCCCCGTCCCCTCCTTCCTCTGGAGCCGGGAGCCCCCGGGGAGGGTGGAGTCCTCCGGCTGCGGCGCCAGGGCGGCGGACGCCATCGCGCGCGCGGCCGCCGCACGGCCCCAACGGCAGGCTGGGGCACGGCGTGGCGGCACGCGTCCCGGGCTCGGCGCGAGAACGGCTCGGCTTGGCGCGAGAAACGGCGATGAACCAAGGAGGGAGGGAGGGAGTGAGGAAGGAGCGAAGGAGGGAGGGGGGGAAGGAGGGAGGGGGGAGGGAGGGAGGGAGGCGGAGCAAGAAGGGGGAGCGAGGACGGAGGCGGAGGAGACGGCGCGTCTATCCTGCGTCCTCGTATACTTTTCGGTCCGCCCTCCCGAGTGTCATTGGGCACCTGGGGGGAGGGGCTTCGAAAACCATCCGGATGCAGTCTTCAGCGCAGCGCAGCAGGTGCAGGAGGCGGAAAACTGAAAAAAGGGTGGATGGCACGCTCATCGAACGGGTGACTGAACGCAAATGTGGAAAGGCAGAGAAACTATGTGGTCCTGTTCAGCCGCCCAATGCGAAGAGTAGCTGAAGAGACATGTTCCAATGCGATGCTCCCGGAAGCTCTGCGGCGAGAAGTCCGTGCACTGCCACATCCGTCTGTAGACGCGTCCTCGTGCAGTTCGGGTGCCTGTCTCCCAGGATGCACCAACGATGCTGCAATCCACACTCCCGTCCCAAGTCCCCTCCTTCGTGCTGCGGGAAACGCGCAGTGGGTACCCAAGCGAGACGCAAGTTTGTGAATGATTCGCCGTCCATCCGTCGAGCGAGAAGACTCGCAAACCAGGAAAACCACACAAGTCAAGGAGATGTTGGTGATAAAACAGCAAAACAATACATCTTCCCTTCATCCGCGTACACGTCGCGCGATTTCAAAATGAAGGTCACACATTTCGCGGGAATCTTAAGCGACATCAGCGTTTTGGCAAGAAGCCGTCCTCCATCCGTGTGACTGCTACACAATTGTGATTTCGGGTCCTCGGATTCGATGAAGTCGCAACCGAGATCTGCATTTTGAAAACGAACCGGCCTCCATTCTTGCAGTTGGAAGCTTTTGAAACGAACGAGGTGCCGAAAATGCGCGGCGCTCAAACGAAACCCGTATTTTGAAAACGCCCGGCTCTTTTCATCCGTGAAATTTTCAGCAGCGTTTTAAACGGGGGAGGAGGGGGAGCAAGAAGCAAGGAGCAGGGTGCAGGCAGGAGGAGGAGGAGGAGGACGACGAGGAGCAAGACGCAAAGAGCAGGGTCGAGGAGGAGGGAGGATAAGGATGAGGAGGAGGAGGAGGAGGAGGAGGAGGAGGAAGAGGAGAACGTTTCCAGCGCCGCCGTAAGTTTTTAACAGCTCTTTGGCACTGTCTGTAGGTTTCCAATTCGTTTGACTCATTTCTGATGTTTCGAGGAGGCGGGATGAGGAGAGGAAGGGGAAACGAGATGGAGGATAATCAGGAGGGGGATGAGGTGACAAGGAGGATAATGGGGGGAGGCGAAAAAGGACGACGGCGAGAAGGGGGGCGGAAAATGACAAGGGGGTCAGGAGGAGAGGAGAGGGAGAGGGAGAAGCAGGGGAAGGATGCCATGGAAAGTATGAGGCGAAAGAGGATGCAGAGATGGAAGACGTTGTGGAGGCGCACGCAGATGTTACCAGAGCGGCGACTGCGTGGAAAAGGAGGTGCGTGATGACGTCCTGCATAGCAACCAGGAACTGTATGGCGGTGGTGCCGACCAAGGCGAGGAGACGGGCACCCCTAGGCAACCGATATCAGCGACAATGATCACAAACATTGGCGAGCGAGCTCGATCACCCGTGCCGATCGTACTGCCTCCTCTCCTTGGCGATCACGACGGTGACACCAACGACGATGGCAGAAGCCGTGGTGATTTGCACGCAACACGAGCCGCAAGCGCCACCTTCTCCCCCACGTCCTCCTCGCCGTCCTCGTCGTCCCCCTCGCCCTCGTCCTGCTCTCCCTCCACCCACCCACCCTATTGTACCGCAGGCGACCTCACATCGAGTCGATAAGTCGACTCGGAGCGATCCGAGCGTCGAATCGGCGAGCACGGTGACCATGCCTGCTCCTCATCCCTCCCCATCTTGCCGCTGCTCCTTGCTCGTCCTCTTCTCCTCCTGCACCGGCCGTTCCTCCCCGAGACCCTGCGGGCGGAGCTGCGCTGAAGCAGAATAGCGAAGGCTGTCCGTCCTTCGAGGGCTCCCGCGCCCTCGTCGCCGGGAGCGCGTCGCAAGATCCAGCCTGCGGGTTCAGCAGAGCTACGGCGAAACGCGCGGTCATTTTTTTTTTTTTTTTTTTTCATCTCTCTCTCTCTCTCTCTCTCTCTCTATATATATATATGTATAAAGATATCACACGTTCTCTCCCTCTCGCTCTCTCTCGCTCTCTCTCTCTCTCTTTTTGTTCTCCCTCTCTTGCCCTCTCACACGCGCAGGTAAACAAGGTCAATGAAGGACAGGATGGCAGGTATAGTAGTACTCACAAGTGCTGTTGGGACATATACAGAGAGAGAGAAAGAAAGAGAGAGGGAGAGAGAGGGAGGGAGGGGGGCGATAGAGAGAGAGAGAGAGAGAGAGCGAGACAGGCTACATCAAGAAGTAATGAGAGAGAGAGAGAGAGAGAACGACAGAGAAAGAGAGAGAGAGAGAGACATAGAGAGAGAGAGAGAGGGAGAGAGAGAGCCAGAGACAGAGCGAGAGAGTAGACAGAGAGAGAGAGAGAGAGAGAAAGAGAGAAAGAGAGAGAACAGGGAGAGAGAGAGAGAGAGAGAAATAGAACGAGAGAGAGAGAGAGCAAGAGAAGGAGAGAGAGAGAGAGAGAAAGTGGTATAAGTCGGCAGGAACTGATCGCATCGAGTGCTGCCGACCTACAGATCGGGTGTCTGAACAAGGACTCGTGTGGGTTTGCGGGTGTACCCTGACGGACCGTTAGGGTAAGAACGTTACGACTACTACTAACACTACTACTGCTGCTACTACTCTGTTCACATCGCTGCATGGAAACGACTTCTGCCTCAGGTCTCCCTTCTCATCACGTCACCGGAAGTGCTGCTCCGACGACTGCGATTGGCAATTCCTGCTGTTGCTGTTGCCGTACTCTTTCACATAGAGCTCCTCCTCTTCTCTATGTTGTTGGTTCGTCTCCTCCTTCTCCTGCAGGAAGCAACCAAGTCGGTTTGACGCGATGACTCTTCGAAGTGCTCGGCCCTGGCGGAAGAGAACGCGGCCGACCTGCCGAACTTCGGGATGCACCATTGTCGGAGCCCCAGAGGAAGCAGCTGAATTCGGCTGGGTGGCAAGGAGGGGGAGGAGGAGGAGGAGGAGGAGGAGGAGGAGGAGGAGGAGGAGGAGGAGGACGAGGAGGGGGAGGAGGGGGATGAGGAGGAATGTGAGGCCGGGGAAGCAGAGGAGCAGCAGGGGGAGGCGGAGGAGACGTGGGAAGGGGCGAAGGAGGGAGAGGAGGGGGAGGGGAAGAAGGCTGGCCGATGAAGCGCGCCTGTCGGTTCTCTGCCGAGGAGGCGGAGGCGGAGAAAGCGGAGGAGGAGCGGGGGGGAAGGGCGGAGGAGGGGAGGCGGGAGGGGTGGGGGGAGCAGACGGCCCGATGGCCTACCGAGCCGACAGAGTGCCTAAGACATCGCTTGGCGCATCGAAGCCGTCCGCATCCTTCGCGTTCTCCTCGAAGTTGTGGTATATGGCGTCCTGGGCCTTCTGTACCTCGCGCCTGAAGGCCTCCTCGCGGGCCTTCTTGTTTGCCAAGTCCTCGCTCCTTTGCTTCTGGATGTCGGCCTCCCACTTGTCCTCGCGGGCCTTCACCTTCGCGGCCTCGTCCGGAGGCAGGTACCGCACGTGCCTCCTGTGCACGGTCTTGTGCGCCTTGTTCTCCGCCCTCCGCCTCCTCCGTTCCTCCCTGACCTCAGTCTCGTTGTAGCCGTTCTCGTCCCGCAGCTCCTGCACGCGCTGGACCCAGATGTCCTTCCACTCGGTCTGCCTCTGCTGGAGAGGCGGGCCGCTCTCTGTAGACTAGCGGAGATGATGATATGATGCTGTTGATGATGGCAGTGGCGATGATGATGAAGATGATGATGAGGAGGATGATGCTGCTGATGATTATGCTGGTGATGGTTATGATGATGGTGATGACGCTGACGCTGATGATGATGATGATGATGATGATGGTGGTGATGCTGATAGTGGTGATGGTGATGACGATGGCGACGACAATGATGATGGTGACGCTGATGATGATGATGATGCTGATGATGCTGATCGTGATGATGCTGATGATGATGATGATGATGGTGGTGATGATGATGCTGATGAGGGGGAGGAGGAGGATGAGGAGGAGGAAGAGGAGGATAATGATGAATAAGATCCAAACCTTACAGTTTGAGCGAGTCTTCTCTCAAGCCCTTCCCCCATATTGCCAAAGCCAATATCGACACACGTGCAATTGGGATTGGCATCTGCGACCGCCTGGAAGATGGAAAGGGCTTGCTCATGCGCGGCCCCGCTTTCCAATAACTTAAGCAAATCCGCCACCGTGCCGCTGGGCATGGAGTGGGCGTGTCCTCAGGTCCATTGCCCAATCCTCTAAGCCTCAGTCCTCACTCCTGAGGAGTCTTTTAGGAGCCATGCGCCCACATGGCCAAATCTCCTGGGGCTTGACGCGTCTTGTCGTGACTTCTGGCGTGACTCTTTCAGAGCCAAGAAGGCCACAAGACGGGCCAAGAGGGCCCCGAGAGTCCCTCAAAACGGTCCAAGAGGACCCCGAGTCGCCGAACGATCGCTCCAAGACGCTCAAGATGGCCCCCAGACGACCCAAGAGGCCTCCAAGATGCCCCAAGAGGCCTCCAAAAGCATCCCCAAGAGGGCCCCAAAAGGCCCAAATCATTGATTTTCCTTAGGTATGTGAAGATCTTTGGCGTTCTCGCCTTTCCGGCTTTCCGACGCTCCCAGACGGACCTCGGGGCCTCCAAGATCGCCCCAAGACGGCGCAAGAGGCCTCCAAGAGGGCCCCGATACGGCCCACGAGGGCCCTAAGACGGTCCAAGAGGCGCCCAAGACGGCCCCAGAGGCCCAAAGGGCGGCCCCAAGAGGGGGCTCAGATGGGGCACCCGAAGGGACCTTTCGGGCCCTCGGCCCCGAGGGGCCCCTAGGAGGCCCCAAGACGCCCTCCAGATGCCCCCAAGATGCCCCCAAGAGGTTCCAAAGGGGCCCCCAAGAGGTTCCAAAGAGGCCCCAAAACTGCCCCCAAGGGGCCCCCGAGAGCGCTCCAAAGAGACCCAAGAAACATCCCTGGGAAATCTGACCCCCAACCCACGCACGGTGGTGGTATCGGCCGAAGGCCCTTAGATCCGCCGCCCCCTGTTGGCTTGCCACAGGGGTGCCCAGTGTGCTGGATCCTTTCGATTTTGGTTTTGGTTCTTTTCGCTTCGGCCGATCCCGCCGGGTCCCGGAAAGGCCCCGCAACCACCTCAACGACCGCAAACAATTCTCCAAGACGGCTCAAGATGGCCTCTAAGATGGTCACGTTGGCCCGAGATGGCCTCCAAGATGGCCCAAGATGGCGTCCAAGTCGCCAAAGATGGTCCAAGATGGCTTCCAAGACGGCCCGAGAGAGGCCAGGATGCCTTCAAATTCGTCCAAGAAGCCCCCTGAGACGGCCCAAGATGGCTCCGAGATGGCCTAAGACTGGCCAAGAGGCCCCCAAGAGGCCTCCAAGACGTCCTCCAGGATGGCCGAAAGGGCAACAATCATTGATTTTCCTTAGGTTGTTGAAGGATTCTGGCATTTTCTTATCAGCTCTCCGACATCGTCCCAAGAGCACCCAAGAGGCCTTCAAGATGGCCCCATGACAGGCCAAGAGGCCCCCAAGACGCCCAAAATGGCCTCCAAGACTGCCAAGATGGCCTCCAAGATGCTTCCAAGACGGCCTCCAAGACGGCAGATGGTCCCACGATGCACCCCAGGACGGCTCCTGATGGCCTGAAGATGGCCTTAGACTGCCCAAAAGGCCAGCAAGAGGCCTCCAAGACGGCCCACGAGCCCTCCAAGACGTCCTCCAGGAGGCCCGAAAGCTCGGAAACCACCTGGTCCGATAGCTCGCCCGACTCCGTGTTCCCCGAAAGCTTTCGAAACCCACTCGGGGAACGCGTGGCCCGATAGCTTGGCCAAACTCAAACCCAACTTTCGGCCACGCAGGCACTTCCAAAAAGGCGGGTGATTCGCCGTAGGCGTTTTCGATTAGAAAACACGGGCCCACCCAAAACTGGAACGAACCTTTCAGGACAAGTGGCGGTGCAAACGACATTCGGGTCGCGCGCGTTCCGCTACCGACGATTGGCCGAAACATCAGCATGCGCCGCGCCTACACCGAAGCGCCGCTTACAAAAACCCGCGCACGGCTGTCGCGCGCGGCATCGTTCCCGACGATTCGGCGAAGTATAAATACGTGCACAACGCCACACAGAGAAAACACATTCTTAGTAAGTAACCCGCACGGTGCTCAGACAATAACAACATTTAGCTCTTTCGCGCGTGGCCCAGCTCCAGATAATATGCGCGAGCAGCAGAAATCAGCGCCGCGCCCAAGCGGCAATACAACTTCCTGAACAATCCCTGCACAACACTTCGATGACTCGGGCGCCGCCCCGCCTCTGACGACTTGGCAACCTAATAGCTTGCGCTGCCGTCCAAGCTGAAGGGAACTTGCAGGCCAACCATTTGCGGCAGCGCCTTGACGAAAACGACATTTGTTGTGCTTCCGCACGCCATGTGCGCCGTGCCTCATGTTGCAATGCCGACAATAAAACCGAAAAACGTTGTGATGTGGACTGGTGGGTAAGAGTTGGCCCGTCGTTTGGGGACGCTGACCAGAACTCGCAGGGACTGGGGGTATCAAGTAATAAGGAAAGTGCCAAGATGAGATGGGGGGAGAAGGGGACGAGGAGGCGGCACGGGAATGCCAGGAAGATGAGTAAGCTTCTCGAGCCTCCCCCCCTGGATGTTCTCAAGCATACGAAGAACATGGAGGCTATTCCCCTTCTTCTCCTGTTTTTCCTTTGCCCGAGGGGGGCGATGATAATCAGGCGGAGAAGTATGCAGACCAATGTAAGCTAAAAGCGCTTGACCGATGCTGTTGTACACCGTGCCGCCCGACTCCCTCTCCCCAGACATCCCTGCTATCATGTTCATTCGCTGCGGGAGCCGCTTCCGTAAAGGCGCTTGCACCATGGGCCTGCCACTGAGGAAACAACACCACTTTGAAGATGCTGCTCTCCACCCTTTTAGCTGTAGTATCCCACGTGCAACTCGCAAACCATTTCAAGTGAGAGCCCCCATTTTGAAATGGGGCCACCGTCCGTCGGGTCGCGGGTCATAGAGGACAAGGGGGTGGAAGAGGGAGGGCCAGGAGGTTGGAGGGAGAAGGGAAAACGGCAGGAGTAAGGAACGACATTTACCCAATGCGCACGCCCGTCGCTCCTCTGCCGTGTGGCGGCGTCGGACCGAGCAACTTCGCCCTCGGACTTCGCCCGGCGTTCCTTGGATGCCTCGTTGCGGAACTTGTCCACCCAGGCGTCGTCCAATGCCTTCCTGAGCTCCCGCTGCACCTGGGTGTCCTCCTCCTGCTGCTGCTGCTCCTCCTCCTCTTTCTCCCTTACTCCGAGTCCTTTTCCTCCTTCTCCTCCTTATCCTCCTCCTCCTCCTCTTCCTCCTCCTTCTCCTCCTAAGCACTCCGTTTCTCCTATTCCTCCTAGTCCTCCTCCTTCTCAACCTGCTGCTCACCATCATCCTCTAGCATGCCGTCTCCTGCTTCCTTCTCTTCCTCCCCCTCCTCCTCTTCTTCTTCCTCCTCTTTCTCCTCCTCCTCCTCTTTCTGCTTCTGAGAGGACATGGAGGGACGAGGAGGAGGAGGACGAGCAGGAGAGGGAGGAGGAGAAGGAGAAACGACAATATACAGAGGTGTTCTGCATGGTCCTAAGCCCGCAATGCGTGGTTGGCAGTGGCAAGGCGCTCCATGCAGGTCTTTAAGAGAAGCGCGTCGCGGGGGCCCGCTAGCGTGATTCCGCGCAGCTTGTTCCAAAAGTGCTCTGGCAAGGGAGGGCGACGCACAGCTGCAGAGAGAACGTGCCCCGGTGAGCGTGCTGCGCTGCCCATCCCCAGGCCAAGGCACACGACGGGGTCGGGTGAGAGAACACATCGAGGCGTCTCAAGGAAGTGGAGGAGCCGGGGACGGGAGGAGGAGGAGGAAGAGGAGGAGGAGGAGGAGAAGGAGGAGGAGGAGGGGGATCCTCCTCCTCCTCCGATGCGATCGGGGCGGGGCACTCCTCGCATCCCAGCAGGCATCCCCGGCGCTGGCCGAGAGGAAGCGGTGGTTGGTCCACCGCGCCCTTGCTATAGCTTCGTAAGCTGTCCAGCGGAGCCCCGGGCCTTCTGCGCTACAGTGCCCCAGCGTCTGGGGCAGCAAATCGAAAGCCCGATCCCATGCAGTGCTTTCGAGCGGCGCCTGGGGAGGGCCTCGTCGGACGTGTCTGGGTAGACCGTCAGGCGAAGCGAGGCAGAAAAGGATCGCTGACCGCAGCGCGCCTGTCCTCGCGTGCGGCTGAGTACCATCTATCTTCGGCGGCACGCATGGCGGTGAGCCCAACTGCAGCGGGTGAAGGCTCTTCGGCCTCGCCTGTGCGCAGCTGAGCCCATAATCCACTGATGCCGTGAGCTCTCCACAAACGTGGAGGGGCCGTGGGCCGCATGTGGACCCTGGCCACGTCGACGAACCCTTTCTGCACTGAGCTGGTCGTGTGGGCCGCCTCCAGGGCGCGAACACAATCTGGCCACGTGGGGATCTCGACGCGTGCTGCTCGCCAAGCGGAGGCGGGCGCACATGGCACGAGCGCGGCAGGGAAACATGTCCGAGTCCACGAGCGAGAGCCGAGGAGGTCGAAGAGGCGCAAGGAATTTGGGGGAACACGTCGCATGCTGTGTATTGTGCCGCGCTCGTGCTTGATCGAGGTGTCAGGGAAAGTGACGTACTAGGCACTAGAGGAGAACACAGAGATGATGCGAGTTTTCTACAGCTTGGTGGTCACCGCAAGTCGTGGGGCGGGCGTTGCTAGCTGTACGACGCGGAGCCAATCTGTTTCAAATGCAGCTGTCCATGCCGGGTATAGGGGCCTGATCAAGACCCCGAGTGTGGCGGGCACACGCCGTTTTCTGAAGAGTAACCATCCGGGGGCTGTGCCAACAATACGGCGGAGAGCGGTGCCCATCATTTCATTCGCCGCCGCCGTCCAGGTAGGGACCACGATGCTCGTCTAGATCTGCAGCTCGAGCCCTGCGGGGGATGACAGGTGCAGAAGGGGGGCCCGAAAGGGGGACGAGCAAGACGAGGTACCCGAATCGAGCAATGAGTGAGGCCGAGGTCGTCCGCACAGGATCTGTGCCTGTTAGATCCAAGGGGGTCCTTGACATTGCTTTTTCAGACACCGGTGCCCAGATGGACCCTGAAAGGTGATGCCTGTGGAGGACCCCTGCGGCAATCTCAAACATGTGCTCGGATGTGTTTCCTGCTCTCGCTCGAGCTACAGGAGGACAGTAGAGGGCAGAGATCGCGGATAAATCTTCTGAAGGGGCTCCGTGCTCCGTAGGCCTCCAGATCAACAAATAGAAGGGTCCAACCTAGGACCGAAATGCCGCCTTGATGCCAACGCTTGCAAAGAGAGAGAGAGAGAGAGAGAGAGAGAGAGAGAGAGAGAGGGAGAGAGAGAGAGAGAGGGAAAGAAAAAAAGAGAGGTCACCGAGGGCCTCAGGAGAATGACCTCGACGACCGGCCCGCTCGGGAAGCGTGCCCATAAAAGGCCCACATTCATCACAAGTGCTATGAATTCCGCGCCGCATTTCTCAAGAGAGGGGGGGAGGGAAGGGCGGGGGGGGCGAACCGCTCCCGGGGCCTGGGGGCCGAGAGACATCGACTACTGTCCTGAACTTCGCCTCTTTCGGGGCCAGGCCGGTTCCCATCATGTGGATCATACGGTCATACATGAAGGGGCCCTGGGACACACAAATCCGCCGACCCCTTGTGGGTCTCTAGGCGTGTGAGATAGTTCCCCCCCCATAATCCCCCCCCCCAGGGACCCCAAACCGGAGATTTGACCCCCCCCCCCGGGCCCAGCACGAGCGCGTCACGGGGCTCTTTTGGGCCCAAAAGGGGATCAAGACGGGCCCAGAAGGCTCCAAGAGGCCTCCAAGACGGCCCACGAGGGCCCCGAGACGCCAAACGAGCGCTCCCACACGCCCAAGATGGCCCCAAGACGAGCCTAGAGGCCTCCAAGACGGCCCAAGAGGTCCCCACGAGGCCCCTAGAGGCCTCCAAGATGCGTCCCAAGAGGGTCCCTAGACGCAAAAATTGGCCCATTCCCTTCGTAAAACGTATAATGTTCACAAATTCGTTTTCTGGGCTTTCCGACGCTCCAAGACGGCCCAAGAGGCCCCGAAGACCGCCCCAAGACGGCCCAAGAAACCCCCAAGAGGGTCCCAAGATAGCCCAAGAGGGCCCCAAGACGGCCCAACAAGCGTCCAAGACGGCCCAACAGGGCCCCGAAAAGGGCCCCAAGAAGCGCTCCAGGAGCGCCCCAAGTGGCCTCCAAGAGAGCTCAATATGGTCCCAGACAGCCCAAGAGCGATCAAAGACACCGAAGATGGCCTCCTGACGACCCAAGATGCCCCCAAGAGGCCCCAAGAGGCATCCAAGATGCGTCCCAAGAGGGCCTCTAGACGCAAAAATTAGCCCGTTCCCTTCGTAAAGCGTGCGTTTTTTTCACAAATTCGCCTTTCGGGCTTTCCGACGCTCCCAGACGGCCCAAGAGGCCCCCAAGACCGCCCCAAGACGGCCCAAGAAGCCTCCAAGAGGGCCCCAAGACAGCCCAACAAGGCGCTGAGACGGCTCAAGCGGCGCCGAAGACGGCCCAAGAGAGCCCCGATGACGGCCCCAAGAGCGCTCCAAGTGGCTTCCAAGAGAGCTCAACATGGTCCCACACGGTCCAAGAGCGATCGAAGACACCCGAAATGGCCTCCAGATGGCCCAGCACGCCCCTGAGAGGCCCCCAAGATGCGTCCCAAGACGGTCCCTGGACGCAGACATGTACGTATTCCCGTCGTGAAACGTACAATGTTCACACATCCGCCTTCTGGGCTTTCCGACGCTCCTAGACGGCCCAAGAAGCCCCGAAAACCGCCCCAAGACGGCCCAAGAGGCCCCCAAGACGGCCCCGCGACGGTCCAATATGGCCCCAAGACGGCCCAAGAGGTCCCCAAAACGGCCCAAGAAGGCTCCAAGACGGCACCAAGAGGGGCCCAAGAGGGCAACCAACAATTCAAAAATCTAGCTTTCCGCCCCCACGAGCCCCAGGGGGCCCCAAGAGCGCCCCAACAGGCCGCCAACGGCCCTCAAGAAACCGCCAAGACGCCCCAAGGAGCCCACAAGAGGCCCCCAGGAGGCCCCCAAAAGACCCCCAGACGCTTCCGTATTGCGAGCCGTCACGCCAACTGCAATGCACTCCGCGCATACAACCTTACTCTTCCTCGCGACGTGCTCACTATCTTGGTCGGCGCTAATGTGCTGCTGCCGCGCGAACTGTTTCGTGCGCGCTGCGAACGTCAACAGCCTCTTCACCCGTTTCGACTCATCTGCCACATCTTTCGCTGTGATGCTTCGCTGATCACAGCTTCCACACACTACTCTTGCTCCTTTCGTCTTCCAGTGCTCCTCCACTTGGTTGCGGGTCGAAAGGCCGACCTCCCAGAAGGACACCCCGCACCCGGGTGCACAGCACGCAAAGCGCTCGCAAAACACGCCCCAGACCACCGGCATCACGCAAACATTTGGACCCCCTACGTATCTGCCACCACCCGCGCGCGACACCGCACCCTCACACAAGACGCCGCTGGCTAGAAACTCCTGGCCTCGCAACACTCACAGAAGGGGTCGGCGGATGTGGCGTAAGCCTGTAGAGTAAATACACACAAATAACAGGAATCCCCATATTTTCTTGTATTTTCTGGGTTTCGGTCTTCCCTCCCAATTCCCATATCTTCCCATATTTTCTTGTGGATCCACGATTAATTGTGTCTGTGTGTTTTTTCCCCTCCCGAGTACAGGACCCCCGCGGAGCCCGGACTGGAGACCCACGTTGCATATGGAAGCTAGCCAGGGCCTGACGAAACACGTCGGGCCTTGCGCAGGGCCCCGAGGAAGTCTTCGGGGACAAGACCACGAAGATCAGCGGGGAGATCGTCCGGGAGACGGGCGGCCGGATATTGACGGGGCAACGGGGTCAACTGCTTTTGTCCGAGGAGATGGGCTGCTAATGGCGCCGGAGCCCTTCGATTATGCCTTCGAGGGTCTGGGTGAGAGCGGAGGCCTCTGAACTAGGGCCGTCCCTCGCAACCCGAAGTCCTGAGAGTAACAGACGCTGGCGAAACGGGCTCCACGCTTGCGCCCCGCGGGTGAACTGCCCTTCTTCGAGATGACCTGGTCCAACGGACCGTCTTGCGGATTCTGCTGGTGCTTCGCTGCCGGGATGGTGCGGCGCTCGTAGTGCGCAGTGGCCGCCGA